GGTTCATGGGGTCACGAAGAGTCGGACACGACTTAACGACTAAACAACAACAACAATAAAACACCTCAGATATTAGTATACCTGTGTAAGTACTGATATTTCTCTTTTGTCTGATGTTCTATGCTGCAGATGGCTGTCTTTATTGCAAACATTATACAGCCATCTACTGGGAAAATTCTATAACTGTACAGTCCCTTTTTTCCTATTTAGAATTAGCCTAAATAAAGTTGAGAATATTTTATATGAAATCAAGCTCCCTCCTCTGCAAAAAACAAAAAAACTAAATCAGATCCTATTATAAGAAAACGTTATTAAGTACTATAAACATAAGGAAAATGTCTGGAATCTCAAAACTATATAAACCCACCTTCCCCAACCTGATACCTCTCAGACGTATTAGACACCAATTCTTATCAGATACAGCCAGCATTATCAATAATAGGAGATGTAGATCAATTTATGTAGACCAACATCTGAAAGGCATACAATGGGGGATGGTGTATATAAACTAAACAAAATTAGTAGCACTTCCATAATTTTCCCTAAGTTTTTCTAGTGTGTGGGGGGACATATCCTGGGAAAAGATGATATTTACCTCATTTAGATCAGTTTTGGCCTGCTTCTACTCATATTCTGGTCATTAGGTTGCAAAAGTTCAAATACTGAAATTATGAGGAAAGTACAAAACTTTTCTTAACCTATGTAGCTTTGCTTGCTTTGTATAATTCTGGAAACAGATTTTAAGAACTTGCACTTGTTAACCTTGCCCAACTTCCCCAAACTCCTTTTCTCTTTCCACCAAATTGTTTGAATGATACTCATAGAAATACTTTTGAATGCAATTCTCTAGGCTTAGGTTTTATCAAATTTCCCAGCTATAATTCTAGAGTGCCTACAGTTTATTCAATACCCTGAAAGACATCAATATGATTGCCACATTACCCTGCTCATTGAGATAATCTGAGAAGGCTCAGCTCCAGCTACTATAGTTATGGCAACTGATGGTTAAGCTCCTCTGTAGCTTCTCCAGTTCTGTGAAATACACACACTCTTCCTGATTTGAGTGGTACCTCAACATCCTGAAACTAAAAGTAGTAATCTAGACCACTACTTATATTTATACTTACAAATTATATTGGGCTGACAAATGAGGTATGTCTATCTCTGGTGTCTTCAACTATACATATTCATTTTAATCTTTTCAAGGATGGAGATAAGTGAAATGAAGCTGTATTAAGCAATCAACTATAACTGTTCCCAAAATGCTCCCAGGCAAAACCCAATGCGTTAAATGATTTTGTGGACTCTCACTTTTATTATTTTTAGCAGATGTGAAGAACTGTGGCCTTAGATAACTTGAATTGACTTAAGCCAGTCCTTTAAATCAGACTGCTGTGGACTGCAGGCATTCTATACATGGAAAATATTATTCATTCATGGAATGAATAAATCCAACCAAGCTTCCATAAATGAAACTAAAATTTTCCCTGATTCATCTTTCCCTCCTTAGGATCCCCATGCCACCTTCAGGTGGTTCACCTAACACCTCAGAAGAGATGGAAGCTAGGCAATAAAAGAAGAAGAAGAACAGACTCCAAAGTACCCAGTTTTGCAATGAAAGCACAGAATCCTAGGTGTTTTCTGTTCTCTAAATCAAGATCAGATAAACCTTTTGGGCTTAAGGGCACATTTGAAATGTATGTTGAGAGCATAGGTGACTATACTCACAAAATGGCTGTCATGAGAGACACAAATAATCCATTTACCAGAAGGTGTACCAGCCCTTCTCCCTGGATGCTCCCTACCATCCTGGTGAGACTTTTGTGAGGCTCAAAGGCAATACTGCAAATAGATATGCTGTTACAGGCTAATGCTTTGGAATATGACAGCTCCCTATTTATTTTTTCATTTAAAAGAATCATTAAAAAATAATCAGATGGGATAGGGTGCCTAATGGGTATCAAGGGAGGTGTCTGGGGGCTTACTGGTGCCTGTAAGCACTGTGATGCAGTTTCATTTTCATTGGCTTATTTAATATTTAATATTTTATTATAACTTAATAATAAGAGTACTAATAAGAGTAACAATTGCAAACATTTTAGATTCATGTTGGTTTAATACTCTCCATTGTGGCATACAAGAGCTTCTTGCTTCCAGGGAGGTTATGTTGCAAGTATTAAGGCTTCCTCCTCCTGGATGCAAACAGCAGTGAGGTCTCTATATTTCTGCCCATAAATTTTTAATCATAGCCTCCTCCCCTCCACCACTGATTGAGTTCCCTACCGCAGCTAATGGCATGTCTTGTAATATTCATCCATGTAAAATATGTATATGGATGCCATTTCTTATTTTTCAAAGGAAGCTCACATAAGGCAAGCTGAATGCCTTTCAGACTAGGGCAAATTTGTTACATGTTTGATCATCGGGGTAATCAGAACATACAGGAGCCCTTATCTCAAAGATACAAGGTTGGGTTAATGGTCTGGATGGCTTTTTGCCACCTGCCTCAAACTTAATCCAAATGAAACCCAGGATATAAATTTCCTTTGACTTCAATGGGAGTGGGATTGAGGATCTAAATGCATGCCCTCTGGCTGGAATACATTCAAAGATGACATACCTTTAAAAGTCAACAGGTCAAACTACTAGAGTGAATGAATTTTTAGACAAGAGGCATTCTGACGGCCATGATTTAATATCTCCAAGTAATTACTTTATGAAATGATTCCATGAACTGGCAGCTTTTTCTGCCAGGAGTGAAATAGATAGTATATTGTAACTATGCTGGAGTTAGTTAGAGCCCCAGCCAATTTTCTTTCTTTCTTTCATTCATTCATATATATACTAATGAAATTCCTTTCCAACTATCTGTGGCTGACCTTTCAGAAAAAAATTAACAGCAAGGATTCAACCTAGAAGCCTCCTGCTTTGCACCCCAGCATTTTTGCAGGGATCCTCTTGAAGTGCAATATGGATGACAAACTGACCCTTTTCTCTTCTGCTTTTCAAAAATAGACAATATATCATAAAAAAAAAAAGCATTTGCCAACCTGAGTGGCCTCCAGATGAGTGGACTTCAACTCCCAGAATTCCCCACCAGCATTCCATTGC